ATATCTTATTATCTATCAAATCTTTCCAGGATCAATACATATTCTAAGTTTAAATATAAATTTATAAATAATTAAAAAATATTGTTAGGACTATAAATAATTGAAATTTTGAGAAAATAAAAAAGATTTGATGCATAAAGTTTATGAAATATTATATTGAGTTGAGATTGATTATTTTTTTATTGAGTAGTCAAACTCACTTCTAGTTGAGTTGAATTTATTTTAAATCAAACTAAATTAAATTCATAATGGGACACGAACCTATATAATAATGTTGATGTCAGGACAAATTGAAATCATGTCATGATAAATCTATATTGAGACAAAGTTAGATTTAAATTAAATCATGTTAGGTTTGATTGGTCTACTTAGACAAGTTGATTTGATCCTAATATTTTTCTTAAGTTATAAATTATAAATTTTAAGTAAAAACTAATTTATAATTAATGTAAAACATTTAAAAAATAATTTATAATTTAAAATATTTTAGAAACCTTATTATTATAAAAGATATTTAAAATTAATTAAAATATTCTATTCTAACTCATTTTAAGTGGGATTATAATTTTTTCAATCGAGATATATAGTAGACCAATAAAGATAAGCTTGTTTAGGTTTTTTCTCATTAATATATTTTAAATAAGTTATTATATTGATATGGATAAATATTAAGAATGGTAGTTTGAGATGTTGTACAAAATAATAATTTGTTTTTGAGATAGTGTATGAAAAATTATCTAAATAAACGAAAAAAATATTTACTAATACTTATCAGATACTATCATGTCTATTTTATATAGTTAATCATTCATCTTTTGATTTACTATTTTTTATTACTTAAATTACATTTAAAATTTTAAGAAAATGTTAATTATTAATTGTTAAAAACTATATTTTATATATTATAAATATTAATTACATACAAATAACCCTTTATAATATGTACATGTAAAATGATTTCATATAAAGGTAAATTTTGAATAAATTTTTATACGAAAATACTAATAACTAAAAGTAAAAAGCAATTCAAATTTTTTTGTTAATTTTTAATGTAAAATAAATGTTGTGTTCAATTTATTATATATATATATATATATATATATATATATATAAATTTGTTTTTATATAAAATAATATTATTTTTTTATAAATTAAAATTAGATATATTGTTTTTATATATGTTATAGTGATATTTTTTTTGTAATATTTTTTTTTTTTT